ACAGTTGCTTAATATATTCACCCTTAAAATCACCGATCCGAAAATGAATCAACACACATGGGCTCAAACAGAAAAGTCAGATTAATGTTCCATTGACAGCTGGGATCCATTATAGCGTACAGAGATTCCTCGTTATCCGAACACATTTAAAAGCTTCTCCCTCTCTTCACTTGATAGCAGTCGTGTCCAGGGGGCAGTTAAGAAAGAAGACGGAGTTCGGGACAAATAAGAAAAAACGAATGTGTCCAAAGAAGAAGAGGAGTTGCCCAGCGATTTGCATAAATCATCCTCGTCCCTCCGTAACGAAATGAAGTATCCGGAGTAAAACGTTCGTGGATAGGTGGGAGGAGAGTCAGAAGGAGCACCAACACAGAAACGATTCGAAGAATTCTGTTTTTCTCGGCGCTGTGGCACATGGACACACAAACAACACCAGCACACACAGACACACACAGCGGGTGCCCACCTATTCAGGAAACGTTTCGGATGGTCATCGAAGGCGCGGGCCTTCAGGAGGAGTCAATTAAAAAATCTAGTTCTGCCAATGCCACCGGATTGGGAAATAAACTGGAGGGAGCATCGGTCGTGTATAAAAGGTCGAAATATCATTGGGATGATACTCAAATCCACATCCAAACGTCACACGGTCAACATGAGGCTCCTGCTGATCGTTCTGGTAAGGATCCTCCTTTGTCAACCCCTTCGACAAATAACGCCATTTTGGAAACGTAGTTGCAGCGATGCTGATAGATTCTCACGATTATTAGCGATTTCTTTGTGGATGGCTTAGATTTATTGTAAACTAAAGAATTAAAAGTATAAACAAAAAATAATAATTGTGATATCGAATTAATTGTAGTGGTTAAGGGTAGTTGGGGGAACATGTCAATCATTATACAAATTCAAACACTTGTTTTAAGCACAATTTCTTGAAATACATCTGATAGTGTATAATTCTCTAAAAACCCTTTCTTTAAAATATAAGCAATGCATTTCTTAAAATAACAAAACTCTTAAGGCGTAAACATTTATTAATCGATGCGCTGTGTTCACTATATTCGCGACTACAATAACAGGCTCGAAATCATACCACTATCAATCCAAGTCTGTTTTTATACCGATCTGAAACCACACAACAGAAAACTCGACACTCGTCAGACCACTTTGAATCCCTTCCACTTTCGTTGGCGTGTCCTTTGCAACAGCCGAAACTTCCAGGCTCGATGCTGCATTTTCGAAAAACAAGCACTCTCATGATCGTCCAAAATAACCTTCGGCTAATTCGTTAAATATTTCAGACCTGCCTGGCGGCTTCTTTAGCTGCGCCCCAACAAAAGCAGAAGAGGGACATCCTACCGGGCGATCCGCGCTATGGAACCGACTACCATCATCATCATCACCATCACGACACCACCATAGTAGAAACCACGAAATCCATCGGTGGTTACGTTTACAGCATCCCGGAGAAACCGTTCCCATTGCCAGTGGACACGTACGGACCCCCTGGGTACCAACCAGGTGTTCCCTTGAACAATCAGTATTTGTCGCCGATCGGTGATGTCAAATACTCCACGCCAGAACCAATTTACGAAGTACCTGAGACTATTCACGTAATTATCCGAATTTTTGTTATTAAGTCGATGAATGGATGATGATCAATGAATGAACTAAATTTGACTATATATTCATCTAGACTCCCCAAGTGACCGAGACCGTTGGAGAACCAGCTGTGATAGATGTAAGGAACTTTGTCTCGAGCACACCGCTGCCACTTCCACTCGAGCAAACCCAGGTACGTGTGATATATACATATATTAATTGCTTCTTTTTCCTTGATAATAAGGTATATTTATGAAACATAAAATTACGATTTTATGTATTTGCAGACGGTGACTGGTTTACCGCCAGCTACATCTTATGGTACTCCGGTGGTCGACCATGTCAAGGTAAATTAATATTCATCGAAAAGTTGTCCGGATATTTTAACCAGGAATAACATTCAAGTGTGAATTTTTTTAGACCTCTGTGGGAACCGATGTAGTGAAGACAGTCAAAACCGAAATTCATGGCCAGTCTACGTTGGACCTGCCTAAACCCGTGGTGAAGGTCACCGAACACGCGCCTCTTGTCCAAGGTGAGAATCTTTTTACAACTAAAATTGTTATCTTAAAAAAAAAAAAAAAGACGAGTTTATATACTGGCGAAAGCAGTAAAACCTCGGGTATCGTGTATGCAATTACGCAACGCTTTCGATTTCGAAACGTTGTCAATACACTTAGGTGCTTAGTCAATCCGGCGATGGCTTGACAAATAAGAGTGTATCTGTAATTTATGCACGTAAAACCTTAGCCACAAATTCTGCAGTAATAAATTACGGTATTTTTAATATTCGTGTAGAAAATTTCTCCTACTCTGTGCCATCGTTTTTTAGCTTCGTAAATCTCTATATTTAACCCTCCGTGAACCAGCGGGTGTTAATGACTTAACACTCCTTTTTGAATTCCATAGTACCATCACTGAATAAAAACAATATAGATCCCTTGTAGAGTTTTCCTACTTTATTCCGGTACATACAATTAGGACGTGAAAACATTATCATTACAGGGCTAACTCATCTAACCACTGGCATCAAGAGCGTACCAGCAGTCACTGCCACCGTGACAAAGAACTACGTCGGTGGTACCCTGTTCAACGAGAAGTTACCAACTCTCCACTCCACATACGGTGGAGTGTATTCGGCTGGCGATGTCGCTGGCTCCGTGCCCTCCGTCTACACAAACATCCAACCCCATTACAATGGAGTCTATTCCGGGTACGCAGGGCTTGGATTGAAATCTGTCCACGTAGAAGCACCTCTGGCGCCACAAAGTACCATCCAACTTCCAGAATCCCTCACTCACATCGTTGAACGCATTCAACCATCGGTTAAGTCTGTGGAGACCTACACACCAGTGCATTCGGCGCACTCGGTAAAATCCTACGAATCCCTGACACCAGCGCACCCCGTGCACGCTGTGCACTCTGTACAGCCTCTGACATCAGTGAAATCCGTCGAGACCGTGACACATGCCCCGCAACTGCACAGTCTACACACCTACCCATATGCGCAGACTCCAGAGATCCTGACGCCAGTCGAACCAGTACAAACTGTGGGCACTCTGGACACGGTTCACCATGCACCCGCTTTACACAGTGTGCACAGTCTGCCAACGGTCAAGACCTATGAAAGCCTGCCATCAGTGCACCATGTGCCTTCTGCACACAGTCTGGCAACAGTCAAGGCCTATGAGAGTCTAACACCAGGGCACCATGTGCCCTCTGTACACACTGTACACAGTCTACCAACGGTCAAAACCTACGAAAGCCTGCCAGCAGTGAACTATGGACCGCCTGTACACACTGCGCACAGTGTGCCAACGATCAAGACCTATGAGAGCCTTCCATCAGTGCACCATGTGCCTTCCGTACACAGTCTGGCAACAGTAAAGACCTATGAGAGCCTGCCACCAGTGCACCATGAACCCTCTGTACACACTATTCACAGTCTTCCAGCGGTAAAGACCTATGAGAGCCTACCAACAGTTCACCATGAACCCTCTGTACACACTGTTCACAGTCTGCCAACGGTCAAGACCTACGAAAGCCTGCCACCAGTGCATCATGTGCCTTCTGTACACACTGTGCACAGTCTGCCAACGGTCAAAACCTATGAGAGCCTGACGCCAGTTCACCATGGGCCCTCTCTACACACTGTGCACAGTCTACCAACGGTCAAGACCCTGGAAAGCGTGACCTCATTGCCTCCAGTCCACACTCTTCACTCTGTGCATACACCAGAACACTCTGTGGAGTCCACAGAGACTCTGACTCATCCGGTCCAGACCGTGGACATTCTGCCATCCGACAGCCCAGTACACACCTTTAGCGAAGTGATCAAGACAAAGACAACCCCGGTGATCCAGAAGAACGTGCACGTCCAGGTGCAGAAGGGCTCGTTAAGCGATCTTATCTCGAGCTTTGGCGATAGCCTGTCATCTCTGCCATCTCTACCATCCTTCCCGACGCTGCCTCAACTACCTTCGCTACCGTCGCTGCCATCGCTGCCGTCGCTGCCCCAATTCCCTTCGCTACCTAATTACTCCGTCGATCCAACCAGCGCTACTCCATTTCCCGTGTCCACTCCAGTGAGCGTGCACGTACCAAATCGCCACGAGACGGACTCAATCACAGTCGACAACCCTTTGTTCCGTGAAGAACAATTATTGAACAGTGTCGACACCAAGCATTTAACACATGCTCACGAGTATGTTCAACCCACAGATGCCAATGGCGGATATGTCTATTAAGAACACCTTATTGGACGTGATTTGTTAAGTTTTTGTTAAGACGATGGAAGGTACGAAGAAACCTATCATGACACACTTTGTAAGAAAGTACTTTTGTAACTATGTGTCGGAATATTCTTCTATGTGTACTTCATGTTAATTGACATTGTAATAGATTTTCTATACAAGACGGACAACATTTAGAGAGTTACAGACATAAAGAATGAATGTATACAGTTTGTAAGTAAATAAAATTCTTTTATTACAAATATTCGATCACTTGGTTACTATCCTGTGTGTTAACATTGCCTGTTCCATCGAGTCATTCCATAAGCAATTTAGAGACATTAAAAGTTAATAAAGGATAATAAATTGATCAACATCCTTTGTAATTGTGTTCTGTGTTTTAAATAATCTTTCAATTTTATCCCGTTGATAATGTTATGGTTTTGACGTAGAACCACCAGTTTTATTTGAAAAGTACTTTCCCTCCCATTCCTTATAAAATCACTTGATACGTCGCTGTTTCAGCAATGAATACTTTTCTATGCACTCACACAACAATTTTCGACTTCAATTAATTACCAGAAGTCGTGTATCCATTTACGAGTTTTGTAGTAATAATTGAAGGAACACTCTGAAAGAAGAGACGAAGTATCTTCGGCTGTGGTACCATTACCATAAACGGCACTTGTTCTGTGGATTCATGTTCGATCCCACAGGACATTTCCAAGCATCGCTGAACTCTTTGGAATTTTTCAGAACCCCCTGAAGCCTCACGCGCCCCGGGCAATGTGAATCATCCAGCATCCATTTTAAAGCCTTCTGCGTGTAAGCTTCACACCAAACCTGAAGTTAATTAAAACTTCAATCTGTTATTCAGTAACTTTAACGATTTCGGAACGGAACACATTAAAAAGTGGAATAACTACTGTTCAATGAAATATTCATGGATCAGAAAACGAAGTTTCGTGTTAATGGAAGTCAAAGACACCGTGATGAATGTAGTTGCGCAAAATAATTATTTCCCGAATCTAAATCGAAAGAACTTTTCTACTATATCTAGCATTCAATATACAGGGTGGCCCAACAATTCTGTTCACCTAGCGTGTCTCTAGTTATTTTTGGAAATATAGAAACACTTTTTTTACGAAAGTTGAGAGATATGCCACAAAGAATGATTGCAGTCAAATGACCACTCCTTTATTTATTGTCGAATGACCTTGTATTAAAGATCGTTGAAATCATCTAAACATCCGCTATTCTAGTAGAATAAAAAAATCTTGCATGTTATTTAAAACAAATAGAGGTGACCTTGAAATCTCTTAAAACCCTCCATCTACAAAATAATTATTACTGGCCTATCATGATCCCTTCTGTATCACACAACTTCTGCGAATAAAGTTTTTCAATAGTTCGAAAAATAACGGAGATATTCCAAGTGAACAGAATTACTAAACCACCCTGTATGTATATTTAAACAGTGTACTTTTAAGAATAAAATTGCTGTAACCAAAACTTTTACTCACAAATAATGGAGCACAATTCAACAAATTCTAAAATAACCACTGAATGTTGTAACCAAAATAGAAAATACATCCTCAATATCCTTCGATCAGAATACCAATTATATCAAGCGTTTATCAATATTCATGAAACAGATTCCTCGGTTTACTCCGTCCTCAAACACGATAAAACGTTTCATCGAAGGCGCCCGGTGTTTCACTCTCGGACACCGAATCTCCATCAAGGGGACACGGTATTGAGTAATCCCCCCTTGAAAGACGCGTGGGCAATCTTACGTGCGCGAAACCGAGGAAAACGAGCTGCTCGTGAGTGAGGTGAGTGAATCCCGGAAGCAAAGGCTCTTGACCGTGTCTGGCCTTCCATCTTTCGTAAGCGATGACAGCCTCCCTAAGGCCACCATTATCCGCTATATTCTCGCCCAGCGTTCGTTCACCGTCGATGTAATCGTCTACCTGCGGACCCACAAACTCACGATCAACCTGTCCGGTCGGTCGTAGATCGATTGAATTTGGACGGTGTACTATTCCAGATTGTAACTTTAAAACTTCACAAATAAGTAGAAATAATAAAGATTAATATTAAAATTCATAATATATATTACCGAATTATCTAATTAGTATTGTAGTTAAATGGGAAGATTAGCTAAGTTCTGGAGATTTCCAAAGGCTGTGAATCTTTCCACTTACCTCTTCGTAGTAATAGCTATTGTAGTGTTCTATGAAACACTGGGTCTTTTCAGTGTACTCGGAAATGGTCTCGTTGGTCCACCACTGTCTAACGTTTCCATTGCTGTCGTAGTGTCTGCCGCTGTTGTCGAAACCGTGCGTTAATTCGTGGCCGAGCACCGTACCAATAGCGCCGTAGTTTAAGGCTCTGAATGCAAAGAAACGTTATATGAAGATAATTAATAGTATTGGAATAATATAGAAATACGTTGATTTTTAAGAATCTGTAATACGTATAGCGAATTTGTATAGTTTAATTGAAAAATTGAATATTGATACAGATCTTACTCGAGACCCAATTCATAAAATGGGAATTGAAGTATTCCAGCTGGTATAGCTGCGTGCGCATAAGAATTAAATATAGCGTATAATAATTAATTCATACTACAGTAGTCTACGTTAATACGTACTTATGTGGTTGAACTGATACGTATGAAACGCATTCACATCCGTCGGATCAGTTGCCCAGCTGAAAAACGAAGAATGGTAAACATAAAAGGTACTCCATAGCTTCCCATTGATATGAAATATGGCAATATTTCAATATTCTGTTAGCTACTCATTATCATGAAATATTGCAACTTACTATGAGAGATTATTGTAATTAACTTGATGAATACACTCCAACTCCGAGACAGACATCAGACGAACAATCTGGACCATGTTGTCCAAGTACTCCGTCTCCGAGAGGTCTATCTAAAAACATGCAAATTAATTTTCCTTACTGCACAACATCTAAGAAAATACATAGTTGACAAACGATTAAATGTAAATCGACAGTATCCTACGCCTTCGTAATATTCGTTAAGGACATCTTCATCGAACAGCCAGTCCGGGAAGCCGATCTGCGAGTCCATCTTCCTATTCTTCTCGAGCGTGGCCGTTTTTGTCTTCCCGTCCATCCAGTCGGTACGGGAAACCATCGAGGCGAAAGCTTCCTTTATGTCATCCAGCATCTCGAACACCTTTTTGCCCTCCGCTTCGTGGAAGGACGGGTCCACGTACAGCCAGGAGACCGCCATCCCTAAATCATCGCCCAGGCCAACGATCAGTGGGACCTTCGAATTTCGCGATAAAAATCCAAACAAAACCATCGCCCCGTTCTCGTCCTTGATCTAGATCAGCGCTGGGCAACGTAGGTCATCTCGCGCGCCTGTTTCCCCTTCCAACCTTTCTTTCGCACCGTGTGCCTTCGTAGAAACAAAGAAGCCCAGACTCTTGTCTCTGTCACTCCATGGTAACGGTGGACAGTAGTGGGGACAAGTTTTAGCTCCCGAGAGCTAACTTTGCCCACCGCTGATCTAGATTCTAGAAGCTGGTCGCGACACCCAAGAGAAACCTTAACTGACCCATCAACTCGTTAACTGCAGCCGCGCAGCGAATCGACTTCGATTCACCGATCTCGACGCTGGTTACTTCGTCGATGTACTTCAGCCAGAGCTTCCTCAGACTCTCCGACGAATGGGGTACCACGATGTCGATCACTGTCCACCAAATGTAAGTCTCTGAAACAAATCAAAATAATGTACATTCTTAGGACTAATGACAGTGGTGTAATTGTTTCACACATAGAATAATGATTTTAACCCTCGAATAGTAAGGTGGGTTTTAAGGTCATACTTGGTAAGGTGGTGGTAAATAGTAGAAACCCACCTAATTCTTCTTCATCAGTGGTAGTCAACATGAAAGCAATGAGCTTCAAGTACTCCAGATCCGCCACCAGTATCTTGTCCTTGCCATCCAAGTCCACGGTATCGACATCCTTAAAAACCATCTCAATATATGGTCGCCATAATGGCTCAGGTGTGACACTCGAATTCGTTTCCATCGCGTACGCGTCCGTCAGCTTCTGAAGTTCATCCACTGACATATAGTCAGCTTCTGTTGGATCGTCTTCCCATATGGTCTGATTGCTTTCCAAACGAGATAACTGAAAGTACCATAATTCGTATAATCACCAAGCCAATGATTTACTAAATTATCGTAACTTGTAATCGACCGTGTTAACACAGTAATCTTCCTAATTGATGATACATTTCCAACATAGTTTATTAGTCGAAATTAACACTCACGAAATAAAAAGCATTAGTCAGCTCGTAAAGAGTCTCCGCGACGTCCTGTAGATCGTCTTCGTCCGGAAACTGGAGATCGTCGATCAAGGAACAGGCGTCCAAGCTACCGTTATTCAGGACCTGCTTGATCACGCCGCTTATGTACGTTATTTCTGCTTCCTTATATTTGTCCGACTCTTCGTGGTGCAGTTCATCTTCATCCTCTTCCTCCTCCAGCTGCCGGAAACGCGATCGGATCGAGTGCAACCGTTTCTCCAGCTCTCTATCGCTGTGCAATTATGGAAAAGCGCATAATGAACATTCGCGTTGAAGTAGTAAGTGATTAAAATTCTACGAATAAATAATAAATTCGATATCAATATGTATTAGCATATCAAGGACAGAAAACGTGCTTACTCGACGAAGAATTTTATTCGCTGTTCGTATCGATTTCAATGACTACTTTTTATCTTGGACACGCGAAACACTAAAATGTAATCTGGTCGATAACGATTCGAATAACTTGCTGTGTAGCGTATATCCGAGATTTACATCTTTCTCGAATGTTTGCTGTATGGATTGTGGACAGAATAATTACAGAGCGGTAGATGCTAATGATAGAGGGCACGTGATATTGATCACTTTGATCTCACAGTGTAAACGAAAGGGGAGAATGGAAATGTACGATTTCCTGAAGTTGACGAGTTTTGTGGTTATTAGGTACCTACTAATTGTAAGATAGTTCACGTCATTTTAAGTAATTATCTAACTATTTCTCCATTCTACCTTGACCATCGATAAAAAATTCCTTTAGAACTCTGATTAATAACTTAAAAAGAGAGGTTCTATGAATTTTGATGTACAACTTTTCAAGTGGTAGGATGTTCCAAGTTCATAAAAAAAAACAATTAACGTAACTTTGAAGGATAAATCTACACCAGAAAATGATCAGAAAAGTATTTTCAACCCTAAAATAAAATAAAAGTTTTCCTTCTTCACTTCAGGCAAAAAATAATCCAATGCTGTTATTAACATTAACTTAGCCCCGATTCGTTCCTGACAGTCTCGTCCATTTCTTTATCAAAGATTCAATAAAAGTGAACGAGAGATTGTACTTGGGCAAGGGGTTCCTTATCATGGGTGTGTCGAGCAGCATGATATTTTTGCTCGTATTCCTTGGATCGGGAATCACGTCAAACCCGAAAAAGACATCCCTTCCCAGAATTCTCTTCACCCTGGCCATCTGTTCGATATAACTGCTGGTCTTCTTGGTGAACGCCGGCGGTATCGGTGGTAAATTGAGCTCCTCCAATAACTCGAACAGTGGCGTGAGTCCCATTTCATCCGCGGCATCTGAAAAGATATTATGGTTCTACTTGTCCAAATTTCCAATGACAACTGGTGAAATAAAATTTTCAAAATAAAACTATTTATGACGAGTGCCAAAATTTCGTCTTTTATCGTTGGGACATAACGAATCGTGTCACTCAGAAGGTGATTACTCCGGAATTAATACTAAACACTCAATTGAAGCTAATTGCAAATTATTTTTATATTATCAGATGAAACTGTTGAAGAAAATACAAACGTACGCACGTCCATGCAGCTGTTGTATAATATTTTAGCCTGATTCACCGCCCAAGGAGCGTTGTTGCTAGTACTGTTGTCCCTCAGGAGTTCCCTGATTTTCCTGTACACTCGTTCTCTGCGTTCTTCGAACCAAGAGTTCGTTATACTGGTGTCCGGCATAGGATGCTCCTCAGTCCACTTTCCACAAGCATATCTAAGAAATATATTTCCATTAACCGGTTAATTAATTGGTACGTGCCAAAAAATATTCCTTTGCAGAAAAACATTAAATAAAATGAGTTCGGATAATTTTAGGATATTCCATAGAGATTTTATTTCTATGAAAGTGGCAGAGAAAGTGTCTGTCGATTAACAATTTCAATTTAAATTTTTACAACGTGCACGTGTGAAACAACAATGTCGTTTGAATGTCAGGATTGATGAAAATCGTACTATCTCTGTGACTACAGCAACGGAAGTATAGAATGCATTCTTTGGAAAGTACACCATGCATTTATAAAGTGCTATAGACGGTCTCGCTTCGATTTCAGGTGTACTCACTTATAAAAATCGTCACAGGGATCTACAGACGTGTCCATACTTTCTTTCAAGCTAGCCGCTAGAGAAACAGAAGTTTTTTAATATTAGAAATATTGGAAGTAGTAATCATCTCTACGACCTTGGACTTAAAGTTCTTAAAACTTAAAATTGTTGCAGTCAGGATTAGATATATAAATTAAATATTCGACGTACAACTGCAAATTTTAAATATAATAGAATGTTTGTTACACATACCTATACGGACACAATTCTGCGTTTCGCAGAGCTTCGCATATTTATGTGTGAAGTCTGCAAAAGAATCGGTAATAAATTCCGTAAGTATTGTTACTTGAAACTCCATATCTATTTAGATCATGAATTTTCTCATCTCTGTCTATTAGTACACACACAATAATACTTACACAGTATGGAAAGTGTGAGTGCTGCTATGAAACAGAGAGCTGCCAACAAACACAAACAAATCATCACGCAATTCGGCACGTATCTTCGTCTCTTGAGGCTGTAACGAGGACAGATCTAATTGCCAGGTCTAACCGGCGTACGTCGATCTAGCGTTCACTTACTAGGCTTGCCTGGATCTTATCGGGACCAGATTCGTGTTGCTGGCGATCGTGTATATCGACGGAGTCTCATCCTCTGGGAAAAAGAAGAATAACAACAATCTTCTAGGGCGAAACGGAGAAATCATTAGAATGCTGAACGGTACCACTTTGACTTTCGTAATTAAGTGATTAGGATTCCAGTATCTCGGACTTTTATTGATTAAGGTATGTAAATCGCTCGGAGAAAATTGAATTGAAATGCTAATTACTATTAATCGAATGTTTGCAGGTACTAAATTGCTTTGGAGCTTAATATATTTTGCACCTTGCGAGCCATCGATGATCTATGGAACTTGTATCGGAAGAAAATCTTTCGATTAAATGGAAAATTCGATGGTTTAATTGTAGGATATAAGTTAAATATTTAATCACATTAAACAGAAAATAGAAATTTTGAATGTACAATTATTAACTACTAAATATCCAGAGATCTTAAGTGCCATTTCTAACAGAACCAAATGATTGTTAATTAATATCTGAAACGTGATCATCAAATCTCCATCATTTGCTATAAATATGTTAAAGAAGCAGAACTTATGTTAAAGTATTCCAGAAACCAGTTATTAATTACTATGACTGATACTAAAGTCCTCCAAGTGCCATTTTCGACAAACAAAAGACTTGTTACTAATTTCCGAGCCATCGTTCCCATTTAACATCTTGTATATCAGAAGAACATGTGAATATACCCTTCACACTCAATTATAGCGACAGAACACTTCATGTAAAATGATCCCAGCAGTATACCCTCGGAACGTCAATGACAGTCCGTTATTGTTGCAGAAAGAAACTAAAGGAGGACACGTATAACCCTGACTTAACTCAATCGTAACGTTTCACGTCTCTCTTAATCGAAGTTCATGAAGTAGAAGTTGATCGTGCAGCAGGTAGACAAGGTGCCATTTGAAGTGATACATCCGGACATAGTGGGTGCAGAAGGGGAACGGCAACCAGGAAGCAGTGAACAGAAAGAAAAGGTATAAATATACACTCACTCCGCTCGTTCATGCTGAATGGCCCACTGACCGGATCGAACTGACGACACTGAACAACCTCGAGGGACAACGGTGGCTATCCATACGTTCACATTTTCCTGGTTCGCCAGTGGTTCTCGTTACGACGACGTCCCGCGGCTCGTCAATTTTCACCGGTGCCGTCGTTACGTTCACCCCAGCCACGTGTCTTGCCCCATTAGAATGGCAAGCCGTTTCACCGTTGGCTATACCATCGTGAAATTTTAATGAAGTACCGCCACGGACCTGTTGGAAGTTTAACGGACCACTGAGAATTACGTAGGGCAGGAAATGGTCCTTCTTAATTTGACTAATAACAAGGCGAAGAAAAAAATTTCGAATCTTCTAAATGGTACTTACTACATCGAGGAAGAGATAGTCAAGCTAGGTAAGTAAAAAAATTAACGTTTCCAGACATAATAATATATTATAAGTTTTAGATTACTTTGCGAAAGAAGAATACCTGTGGTGCCATTTTCAGTACTTGGAAAATCTTCTGTACACATGAAAGTGAAGTATACAGTGAGAAAGTTTTTGTTTTTATATCATCAGGGATAGTAATGAGTTCTCGGTATGTAATTTTCGATTCTCCACTCTTGTTCAAGCATTTCCTGTTAAAATACATCTCCTATTCTTGAAGTTATCCTTTTTCTTCTATTACAATTCTTTCATAAGCATTCTTTCGATTCAACGTAATTAATCAGTAAGATCTTCACTAAATTTTTCCATAAATACCACAGACTGTTTACTAGTTCCTAAGCTGAGAATTGAAATTTTCAAATCAAGATGGTGGATCGTTGCACAAAATAGCGGACAAAATCCTACTTGATTGATACTTTCAACACTTTCTTTATTCCTTCCTCCTAATGTATATAAAAACATTCCACGTTATTGATTGAATGTAGTACGAAATTAACTTCCAATACGAATAAACGGTAGCAATCATCGGAAATCAATCAGTTAACAAAGTAGACAGTCCAAACTTTCTCCTAGAGGATTCAAAGTAACCGCAAAAGTCTATAGAAACCGTCCAATCGACCTTCGACGTAATCGACGTATGCAGAGAGTGTATCATTAATACATGCACTGCCATGAAACGCGTGATCGATATCGGCGTTACTCGCAATTCAAAGAAAGCTTGCTTCCGACTGGGACACGGTGTCTGGATCACGACGCGTAATGTATTCCACGAAATTACACGAAATTGAATTACGAACGCCTTCGGTAGGACATTAACTTCCGGAAGTCACATTCACGTGAATAGAATTCTGTCGAGGCAATTTCCTGTCCAGTCCAATCGCAATTTCTTCCCTTTGATAAAAATAACAGCATGTATGGTTACGGTTAAACATCCTCGGTACAATTTTGTTGCATTACACAGATTAGTGACATAACAGATTCTTCCGTTTGCTTCGAAATTATTCGTATTCCATGGAGAAAGTATGAAAGAAACTGTACAAAGTGCGTGAATCATCGTTACATCGTGTAATTGGTTATGACTACCTTAACGACCAGGTTTACATGAATGGTCTACATTTGAAGAAACGTTATTACGAATGTAACAAGTCAAGAAAATGTGAAGATAATATAAAAATCGTTCGACATCGTGTCATGATATTTAATACCCTACAGTTAAAATTTTTACGACCAACTTTAAAAATACCCAAAGCCTACGATTCCATGTTAATAGTATGTAATTTTCGATAAGGGAAAATATCCTGTCACCGATCGTTGAAAAATAAACAAAGTGGTCTTTTAGCGATCGATACAGTTACCACGCGATGACTCGGTTGGAAGTCGAAATAACATAATCGATGTCCGTCGTGGAAGTGGGTGGCTATTCTGTGGTCATCCACGCGTCATAATGGAGAACAGTGACGGTCACTGGAGGCGTTGAACTGCGCCAGAAACTGAACGATATTCGAAAGAAAGTTATTCGACAAAAGGTTTCGTAAACAATACCGGTGCACGCATTTGCATTTCTGAATCGCAAATTTTTACGTTCACTTTTCACAGTTACCCCCCGCGGGTAGCGAATTTCCAAGTTCCCTTTCAATCGCAACCGCGACGCTCGTGATGAAGGAACGCGGCTGGAAGGTGGCCGCACGAAGAAATCACAGGCTACATGGAGCAGTAAAAAATAAAATCTGTACCGAGTTGAAATGACAGGGAACCGCCTGGAGGGAATCGCTGGAGGCGTTCTTACAGAGGACTGGAATTCTCTATGACGTTTTGCCTCGCAGTTACCTTCGTTCAAATGGAACCTGGCACACCAGGCGACTAGAATTAACAGTTCAGAAGACTGAACACTACTTTTTAATAGATATTATAAATTTTGTTATTCTTCTTAAATTGTCGGTTATGTACGACATAATTTGATAGCATCTTCTAATGATTTTTCATTTTTTTATATGCTTATATCAGGAATTCAGCGATTATCAGTGTAAATTGCATAGTATTTGCGTTTTTAAGGAAATAGGTGAGTTAGATTATTTTCATTCATCTTTCAATGTTCATATTTCAGTGTTTACAAATGCATGATGAGTAGATTAACAGGTTAAAGGATTATTTAAACAGGTTATTACCCACTACATTTTGTACAGTTTTGTAAGAAATAGACTCCTGCTGTTATCAATATACAAGACAAAAATTCGTATTGCATTTCTTATCGGTAGATCGTGGATGTTTATGCAAATTTACATGTTCATAGAACCTAGAATTAAAGACTTAGATTGATAAGAACATTTGCATCTGTTACGAATGCATTAAATCCACGGTCTGATTATTAATCTACATACTCATTACAGTTCCATACCTTTAAGCAACACAAAATTATATAAAACACAGAATACATTATATAAAATGTAGAAAACCGCGATCTAGCGATTAGATATTATGGAAAAGATGCGCATAGCCAGAGAAAATCGCAAACAATAGAATTTCCCGGCAAACTACCCGCGTTAATTGCTTCTGCGTATTGGATTGCGTAAGGTTGATTTAAATTCACTGCATATTAATGTAATTAGAATGAGGCCCTTCCGCGATGCTCGAGCCATTTTTCTCTGATGAGTTCTCCACGCACCGGGAAAAATGATCCCACACCGTAGTATAATTTATTACGTTAGATTACGAGTGTCAAGTCGATTATGCAACTAGGAGAAACACAGGATAGAATAGAACGATCGATGAAACGATTTTGATCGACGTACACGGAAGAAGAGCGACTCTATCGTCGGAACGATCTCCACGCGATTTGGCTATTTTCCGGTCCGTTTGTGCGGAAATACAGTGCTTACTTTATTACAAAGTTTTGTTTCATTTTTTACGAACCATACCGTGCATCGTACGAAGAATTTCCTATATTAATATTCATTTTTATACTCCTCGAAGACTTTTCCACGGTACGAAAATATAAATGAATCGATTAAATAATCATCAAGTAGAAGGAAATTTAAATTATGCGGTTAATCGATCTCATTTCAGATTTTTTCACTGACGATAAACTGAATCGCTAAAACGATCATCGGACAGAAGGAAATCTGAACGCTATCGATCCTATCGATGCATAACACTCAGGATCCTTGAGTGAATTTCATTGATCTCCAGATGACTAATTCCGTCTTTACACGATCGTTTTCCTAGAGTTCCTGTTTTTATTGATGGCTACGTCACGCTCTCTGTTGGAACGATTTACGATTCATAGCGGTTTCTCGTTGCGCAAGTCTCACAACTTGGACTCCCGGGTATTCTCTTTTTCTTTTCTTTTTTCTTTCGACCAAGTGCAACTATGTAATCGTGGCGAATAGAAGGTATGCTCGACTTTTAGAGTTATAATTGTGCCTCAGTGGAATTCGAATTTTCGTTAAAACAGTGAGAAAGGAACGGAAAACGAAATTGAATTAGGATGCGAACAATAATTTGAATAATTGCACGTTTCATTAAATGCTTCAGGGTTCCATCATTTCACTTTTTGGAATATTTAATAAAAAGCCAATAGAATCACATCACTTAGATCAATTAAAGCGTCATAATATGAATAATTGTAAAAGTTTCAGCAATCTCTACCATTGACTGAGCTTCTTTTGAGGCTAAAAAGGTCACAGTCTTCCGAAGAGTCTTTCGTCACAGCGAGATTTTCAGACACTTCGAGTTACAGTTACATGGAGTGTACTCTAATGCTTCAAGCTTCAAAAAATTTACGAATACAAGACGGGTCGACGTGTTTTTTCTCTCAGCACGGTGCACTGCGAGAACAACGGCAGCGGGTTGAACGTTCTGTTTACGCGATCGGTTACCCTGGCGACATCGGATTGATTTCTATCACGGGTCTTCCTCGTCGCATACGCTTACGGGGCGCATAACCGCGTGTCAACCCCCTCGAGCACACGCAATTAACATGAAAGTGGAAAAATGTGTTTATGTAAATTTCAATCGTTGATCTTTCGATCGCGAGATCAGACATCAAATGATCTAACTATGCTTCATCTCGTTTAGAAAATATAATAAATCGTGAATATTAAATTTTCAAATTGATTAAATTTTAGTTGGGAAAGTTAAATTCTAATTGTAATATATTTTACACTTTAGGAATCAACCCTTGAACAACAATGATTAAGTCATTTTGACCAAAGTTCTGAAGAACTACATCCAATTTAACAGCTTTCGGTAACTCGTTTAACTGAGTAATTGTATATATTAATTCAAAGGCAAAGAAAGCCAATTCGCAAAGGAACTTGTTCAAAAATGCATTTAAAAGGAATGATGCACGAATGTGTTTTTTCCGAGAGCTAAAGAAGATATCTTAATTTTTTATTCGAATTTCATTCGAATTGCTATAAGTAAATCGAAGAGAAAACAAATTATAAAATTATACAAAACCAAGTGAAACTTTCTGCGGTTCACCTTCATCACATTTCATACTTTCCCGTTTCCCTTAGATTAATCTTGTTAATAAAACAATAAACTAATTTCTACAACCAGGATCAAGGAACAAACAAATAAAACGACTGGAACACCGATGTTTATCACAAGACATAAAAATTAACTTTTATTAGAAAATAAATAAAAGTGTTGTTGCAGAAGTATGATCAGGGGAGGGGGTGGGGTAGGTGGCAGACGGAAAGAAGAGAAGGGAAATATACAATAAACGGCTCCGATGTCGTGTTGTCTTCTTTTCAATATCACATGCCGCACATACTAATTTTCGACGCGAATAAACCAGGGCACAAAATAAAATCTACGGGAACGCTGGACCAAGGGGGTGGGCTGAGATTGTACAGAAATCGCCACGCTCGTGTGTGCTAACTGTTCTACGAAGAGAAGGGAACAGAAAAAAAGGTAGAGAGAAAGAAGGAAGTAATTTTTCTCGTTTAAATGCCTGGTCCAGGGTGGTGTTCGGGTGGTGGTCCAAAAACGCTAGCCGATCCTGAGGGCGTTGTCTGTCACGTCCTTCGTCCTTCTACTGGATAATACTGATCACGAACACCTGAACCCTTTCCGCACCTCGGCTGAATCCCGTGGTATCCAATCGGGGATCAGGAAAAGGTATACCGCCTTTTTTTCCCGCCATCGAACGAACGACTCCGTGTCCACGGATTTGCCCCCTTCCTGTCGACATCGATGCCCTCCGTGTTGTATATGATCCCTGGGCCTCTTTCCCGCCAAGAGAATTTCGATGATTGGCCATGGTTACCGTTGTATATCCGCAAAGCGTCGCTACGTCGAGCACCTAAGGCTCGTCCAGGATGGATCAGCCTGGACCAGCGTGTTCAGTTGGCGCCGTTCCGAACTCTAATCCCAGGGGTGGTGGACAGGGGCCTTGACGACCTTGACGGGCTCGACGTACGCCTCGTACCCGATCAAATGGGGCTTGACAATGTGCGGGGCTTGGTACGGGATCCTGTTCGCATGGCTTTGCACCTTGATGGTCAGCGGCTGAGGATGTGGGGGAGGGACCGACTGCTGCTGGGGGACCTGAAGCACCTGATGCACTTCCGGGGCATGTACCTGGAGGAATTGAACGGTTTCAATTGTCGTGTCCTAGTCGAGAATCGCGATAGATGAATCGAGAATTTGGGGACTTGTGATGAAGAATTGTTGGTACACTTGACAATTGAATTAATGGTATCTTGTAAGTGGTTAGGGTAATATAATGAGATGTAGTATGGCGGTTCAGTATCTTGTTCATGTGTGTATATGTAGTGCATGTAAACGGTATTATCGATATTATGAACTAATTCGTGTAAAATCAGTTAATGTTACAAGTTTTCTAAGATAATTAACTCTAGCAGTGACAGAATTTATTGATATTGTATCTATTGTGGTGATCGTTAAAAGAAAAGTAATTGCCTACCTCCTTTCTGAAATGGAAGACATCTGCTTAATTGATTCACTTCTAGTTTGTATTATATCAAATATTTCTACATGGTCTTCTATAATCCGCGTCAAAGTGGCTTTCTAGTTCCGTCGGAATTAGTAAAACCATGGCAGAGAAATATGCTTTAGAAATTTAATACGACATTAATCATACGAATTTCAGAATTGAAGCTGAAATTTATGATACAGGAAAGTCGCGATAATTCTACAACTAATTAGTATTAATTAAAACTTCGTAACTTCATATGAAACAGCTCTTGTACCATGAAATCAATAGAAACTTCCTTTCACATTTCAAACAGAATTAATTAAAAGAAGCAAACAAACAAAGTCGGTCTCCTTATATTTTACAAACATTCAGAGGCTTATTTTTCACTCCAAAATTGTATCTTTTACATATTATTCATTTTATAGACTTACGTCGCATCTAATTGGCCACTTTAAGCAATTTCTCGCAATTAAACTGAATTGTATATACTTTTGCATCAATTAAAGTTAAATAGCAAACATGGAAATCGCTGCGTATGTCAGAGGTTACAAGATCCAGAACGTCTGGAGCAACCGCCCGACAATTGGAGCGACTCGTTGCAAGATACAGTTGCACAAGGGCTCTGAATCGATCGTGATTTCGTCAGCGGGTTCGCGGATCCCTAGCAGAAATCCAATTAAACGACGATCGGGGTTCGATTCCGCTTCCACATCGGCTGGAAAGTTACGTTACGTGATTCGTAACGAGCGGCCGGCGTTAAGCGAACCGTTAATCATAGGAAATGAAGAGTTATCGGCGATGCGGTAGTCGTCGCCAGCGAATCATCGATCAGACATTACGATGATGGAGGGAAACGATCTAGATGATCAGTACAAGGAACGCGGAATAGAGTGTAGCCAGTAAAGCTCATCAGAAGGTTCTGACTTCTCTAAAAATCGTGAGAACTCGACATCGCGGTTTCTAGATGATTGATACTCTCGAATGGTAGCTGAAGGCAGTTCAGAAACATGGACTATACGGAACAAGGAATAGAATGTTTGAAATGAAGCTTATCAGGGAATTTTAAACATTCGGAAACTCGTAATTTAACATGATCATGCGTCGAACATCTGGAATGGTAGCTAACAAGAATACTGCTGGAGGTCCTATCTACATGATCAATATGAAAAATAAGGATTGAAATGTTACCAACGAAACTGATCAGAGGTGTTCAAATTATTTGGACCCCTCAGAACTCAACACCACGGGTTTATAGATAACAGTTATCGTCGGATGATAGTCGGAGGATCCATGAACAGATTAGTGTACTGATCGACATCGATTCGACTTTCTGTCGCTTTGGTTACCTGATGAGACCGTGATTCGTCTGAAATTATCTTTGTCGTTACCTGTGGCAGCGCGACCTTCACGTACGAGGGTTGGGCGACCTTCACGTACGAAGGTTGCCAAGGTTCAGGCGCTGGCCAAGGTTGAGGCGCTGGCCACGGTTGCGCAACCTAAGTGTTTCAAAATCACCAAATTCGTTTCAATCACAGAGTTCGTCGCGGAACAGTTTGTGTTACGTTTGGTTATTTTCCGCCGAGTAGGTCCAATTACTCGGTTTGTTCGATGAACGATGCCGGAAGACAGTGACAGAGAAGAGTTTCGGAAAATTAAACGAGAACAGAGATGGATGCTGAAGAGATGACGTTAGACGATTAGGTAGAGAACGTTGGAGGATCTCCATTATCTTATAGAGACCTGCGAGGTCCAAGTTTCGTCGAGTCACTTGGACGTCCCGAATGAGTTACGAGATGGCTAAATTAATTGGATTAATTGAAGGCTGATTGGTGTTGTCAAAACAGTGTAAAGTAACATACAGAGTTCGTTTTAATAGCTGTTATCTCGATACGGTAACTGCTGCAAACGCCATCTTGGAAGATTTACTCGAACAAAAATGAACTCGAGAACGGGGGCCATGGTCCACCCTCGTTAAATGTTACTCGATGGAACCGAGTAATTAACATGTATCGAGGGAATTCATGAACGATCGAAACAAGTGTTATAGAAATACAGCAGTATAATAGTGGAAAGTTTTGCAGGCATAAGTAATCATTTTTACAACAGTTTTGACAACGTTGATTTACTAGTAATCTTTCGAAGACACTGATAACAGTTACTTTTGTTATTTCGTCCTGATAACGTTACGAGAGACGATTAAAATATTCCACCTTTCCGAAAGTTGTAAAATAGATACCATATGTTATATACTTCAAGAAATGTAAGTTGCATACTTCTATGAATGTATGTTACGAGAAAATGTGTTACGTTTTTATTGTATAGTACTACATAAAGTACCTATAGACTTCCAGTCGGACTCAATGTAGAAAATTATTAGGCAATTGTTACGTCACATGCTGTGGTTAATTGAAGTTTCTGAAAGTGACAGAAACCGCACAAGATTCGTTTTCGTTTGGAATTTTTTCGAAATCTGTAAGTTTCACTCACCGGAGCAGCCCATGGGATTCCGGGGAAGGCGTTGGCGACAGCCATGACGGCGAAGAGAACAATCTGCAATTGCGGGAGGTAAATAATTTAATAAGCATCTGGACACAACACACAATTATACTTCGCAAACGCACAATACTTATATATTACAAATTAACAGCACAGACGAATAATAAGAAACGAACGAAAAGCAAAATTCTGTTAACGAGAGAATCAATGAATTGCAGTAAGATACAACACACAATTATACTTCGCAAACGCACAATACTTATATATTACAAATTAACAGCACAGAAGAATAATAAGAAACGAACGAAAAGCAAAATTCTGTTAACGAGAGAATCAATGAATTGCAGTAAGAAATATTTAGAGTATAACAAAGAATACATTCATGTTATAAGTTATAAATATTCTGAAGAATTTTGTCATACAGTAGAATAAATTGAAACCAATGAAACCAACAGAAAATCTAATAACAAGAGCAAATAAATCAGATGTCTAGTTGCAACATTAATATTCTTCTATGTATTAAACACAGGATCAAAGACTACTTCAAATTACCTAACCATGGCAAAAATTCAATGAACAGTGAAAATACAGTTTCCGAAAAAAGAATTATATTTTTATTTTGTAAACTGAAACTGCTACTGCGATTCTTCATCTTAAGGGGTAACAAACCAAGTATTGTAATAAATACTGACTACAACACGTAAAACAATAATCAAAAATTCAATCTTTTATAAAAGTACCAATATCAAATATACTATACAATTATTCTTAAATTTCTCTGTCCCTTCAAACGATATAAAATCAACGAAAACCAGTGATACCACAGGACAAACTAACAGAAAAGAACCAGTAACTAGGACTAATTTTTACAAATACTAAGTATATCCAAATCTTACTGTATCACCTAACTCAAACCAAAGACTCGATAACTACTTTAAAAACGAATTATCAAAAAGGATAACGATACTTCTGCGTTACAATTCACGAGTACTCTCTGTACGCTCCAAGAGTACGAACAGAAAGCAAGATGGACACCCGTAATGTAGTAACGATACCCGAGACTCGTTTCGTTGCTGGCTGAAACTTACGACGAACTTCATCGTGGTCGATTTTTCTTGTGCTGTACACGGGAAAACACTACGTATCTGAGGGGCGACGCGGTATGCTTTTATAGCTGGGCCCTGCCCAGGCCTAGGGAGCCCCAGGATGAGGCGGGGGCACCAACGATTGCATTGCATACAGACCCCTTTCACCAATACCGATCGACCCTTTCGGACCCCCTTATTCGGTGCACCGCAGACCACGGCGGCGTTCACACTTCCGGTAACCCTCCAAATTTCCCAAATTCTCGATACGTCTAAAGCTTTTCGATGGACGAAGTTTCACGATCGATGATTCGATTGACCTGATTCGCCGTATGCAACGACGCGTTGCGGTTGCATTGGCCTATCGAGAGAGAAAAAAAACTTTGAAGCTTAGGACACGCGTAAAATTCATCAGAAATCTCGCTTGCACTGTTTTTTCTCGAGTGATTAACCGATTACTTGCCTTTTTTTTTGTTCTCTGTCTATTGGCTAATTAGAGAATAACACGTTTCTGTGTTTCGATCGAACAATCAAAACACGTTGTGTAAGTTGAGGAAAAAAATTGATCGGTCTTCCTGTGTGGTTTTTACGCGGCCACGGTGAAGGGGATATTCGTCGACAGAGGCATATTTCTATACAATTAAACTGTGATTGTTTGGGAAAATAATTTGGTGGTCGGAGATTAGTAGAAAGGTTTCTGTTGTATGTTATGAGTATCGCTGAATAATCCACTGATTTGTTTTAATATTATGGGAATATAGTCTGACTTCAATTTGTCTTTTCGCTGTTGCGTTTTCGAAAATAAGTATTGAGTTAAGGAAAAAAGAGCTGAACAGAAAAATACTCATTTGTTGTTACATACATTAAATAATACGTCTTCGGTCTAATATGAGATGTATAGGAATTGAACTAAAAAGTTACCGTATTACAAACAATTTCAATAATACACCATGGCATAACTATAAAACCACCCTAGAATTTTCAATTCTTGTGTATTGTGGTTAAAATAAAAACGGATGAAGTATGCCATGTTTGACATCGTGTTGAGAAATAATGTTTCTCCAGGAAAGGATAGATTACATTCCCCAGAAAAAAGTGATTCTTTTTTATTTTAACCACAATGCATAAAAATTTGCAATTTTAAGGCAGTTGTAGAATTATGCTACGTAGTATATATCAACCATAAGGAACATATCAATTTATCATTTTACTATCCTCATCATCCATTTCGTTTAACTCTTTATCTATCTGAACATCTTTGCCACTCGATCGATCATGATACTTATGTCAACGTGTACATTATGTTAATTCTGCTTCGTGTAAATTATGATTTACATCGAAAGAGCATCCGAATAAAATTCGTCTCTTGACACGTGTTGTTTCGTCGTCGATCAGCTTTCCAATCTCGGGACGATCATCTCGAAATACAGGTTGGCCAGCAATCGGGAGTATTGCACAACGGAAAACGAGCCGCGACTTCCGGCAGGATCGACGCAACCGCGGAACCACGACGATGTTTCGTCGAGCATTTTGTGAAATTTCCCGCCGTCTAAAAATTTTCCCCGGGCATTAATTTTCCTGTTCTCATTCTCGACGTGCTCCGATACCTCCCGTCAGCGGCGGATCCCCGTTAACACTTTCGGCGCGGCCCAAAAGAGCGCTTCCGTTCGAATAATTCGCGGGGGATCGTTTCACTTCGGCCGCGGGAGGATTGCACAATATTTCGCTAAAACTTGACTCGTCGAGGCAAGAAATTGCTGCCGGACCGTTGGCACACGAAACAACATGTCGCTATGGAACACAAAAACCAGCGTCGAGCAACCGTTTTATTGTTTCCCATTTACGGCGGCCATTGTATTGACGCGAAATTAGAACGCGCCACGTTTTTCCAGATACATCGCGGTCGACTTTATTCCTACATAAAAATCAGAGTTGGCTCGATTTTTTCTGCTGATGTTGATGGGGAATCGGCGGTCGTTAACGATCTAGATAATAATGATTGTCGTCTGATAGAAATAAAAAATATACAGGGTATCGTGTAACTGATGGTACAACCGAATAGGGGATGATTCTACGTGAAAAGATAAATCGAAAATATAAAATACAATTTTTTCATGTGAGACTTTGTTTTCGAGAAAATCAACTTTGAAAGTCTGTTGGATACACGTACAATTGAATAGGACTGGGATAACGCGTCTGTTCATTGCATTCTGTTTCTACTTGCTGCTAGCATGAAGACACGCGTTACAGATGAATCTTCGAATTCGATTTTCTCGAAAACTAACCCACAGATGAATAAATTTTGACTTCTATTTTCGACTTATTTTTTCACGCAGAATCACCCCCTACCCAGTCGTACCACCAGTCACATGACAGCCTGTACATTGTTCGTGTTCTTTTTATAATAATAAAGTATAGCGACTGAGAAGTTTCGTACTATCTACAAAACTTAATATATTCTTTCTCCTTTTGTTTTCTTCGTTACTTGGATTAACAGCATACTTCCAATATTTTTAATACTATTAGTATTTTAATGTAAAAAGCTGTAAGCAAAGCAGGCGAATACATATGATGCTTTTATATTCACAGCAATTTATTTAACGAAAATTATACTCAATGTTAACGAAATTAAATGAAACACCTGTGGATCGCTATGTTGATATGGAAAAATGACATTTTAACCGCGTTCATTGTCCCAAAATAGAAGAGGCAAACATCACCCATTTTAACGGCGTCAAAGGAAGAAACGTTCCCCGAGACACGATTTTCTTAACCCGACTTTTTCTTCGAGGACAATTATGTAACAGTGACGGGGGGTGGGGGGAAGGATCATTTCCGCGTGATCGAGCGGCACGGTTGAAATTCAGTATCAATTTTCGTCCCTCCCACCCTATTTAGCCCAGTTATCCCTCGCGTCGTTAATAGGCTAGCTTTTACGACTCGCCAATTTCGTAAGCGCTGTAAAAGTCGGAACGGTGTAACCTAACGGGCCTTGCGCGGTCCCAGCACAGTCGTAAATGCATCTAGTTCTGGGTCGTGCGTAATACATTGTGTACAAATTACACCTTCCCCCGTCGAGAAATTGTATTATTCCTTCCGACGAACAAAGATCTCTCAGACTTTCCACGCGAATTAAGCAATTCCATACACCAAAAATCACAGCACCGCGTATGTATCTATCAAAATAAAAGGAAACCACTTGAAAGTGTTTTACGAACTGCTTTACACTCCAATTCTACAGTGACCGCGTTCCTAACAATCTACCATTGGAATCCGCCATTAAAAGAAAACGTTAAAATAGTTCCAAGCGGAATGAATTACGTTTCATGGAGCTAATTCGTGTTACTCGTGATGCAATCAGTTTTCGCCAATTTATCGTGTTGGACCGCATAAACGAGACCTACTCCTCGTAAAGAAACGTAACGGTAAATTAATCGCTTTATGACGAAGAAAAAGAAGCGTCTCTCGGTTCTCCCCCGCCAGAAGAACGGATGACGTTCGTCTACATGATCTTCAGAGACACGAAGGTTGCAACGATTCACGAAGTTTCCACCTTGGCACGGATTCTCTAAGGCGACATTTTCTCGCTACCTTTGGCCTGCTCGATCTCCTTTTCGAGAAAACTAGCCGCCCTTTACATGGGAGTGCACCGGCCAGTTGGCCAATCTTCGCGCCGCCGCTGGAAAAAACGCGATGACCCGTCGTTAAAAGTTCAGAACACCAGCTGTTTCAACCTTCGAGCGTATAGATTAATTGTAGACAGATAAATGATCGAATTAAGGTTCCACGATTTCAATCTATCAAAAAAGTTTTAGAAAACTTCTTTTTGTAGAACACCTGCGCCGCTTCAATTAACTGTTTGTTTAGAAAGAACGTCGTACGAACTGTAACAGAGTGGTTAAATCGGACGAATCGGCTGATTAAAGTTCAACTTCATTAGCCATATCTGCTAACGAAATTCGCGTTTCGACAACGCTCGTTACGGATAATGCGTTTTTACTACCAAATCAGGCTTCGTTTCCCAGAAACACTGCTTTGTTCTTTGTGGAAAGAAACCCGGGATTTTCCGTGCGAATCTGCTCGGACTTTCTTCGTTCATCCTGCACGGTAACTGTTCCTTTTCTCGTCATTTTCTTTTCGTTTTTTTTTTCTTTTCGACCTATCGGCAATTATGCGGGAACGTTGCGCTCCAGCCACTCACCACTCGGTCGATTTGCGCAATTTTTGTGGCGCGTTGCGCTCGTTGTTTCGAGACGCGGAGAAAGACAACCCCGACGCGCGGATCCGAGGGGGAAGCACGGTTGCAAAACTGGGAAAGTTCCGAGCGCGTTTTGGTTCTGGCCGGATTAAAAAGAAAGAAAAAATGCAACATTCGGTTTACGGTTCTGTGAGCGTTTGTACTCGAACATTTTGCAACCGTCCCGAGCCGCGTTTCACAACGTGGATTTTGTTGTGATACCGTTGGCATTCCCAAGATCCATAAAACATTGTTTCGGGTGAACTATATTAAGTTGTGTTATATAATCATAGAATTTATTATCAGATGTGATTCCGAGCGATCTTGCGAAATTACGGGGTGTTTCGTTGAAATTAGAGAATAGTGAATAAAATAGTGGCGGTGGATTTGACAGTGATAATTATTCTACATTAGATATTCCATTCTAGCCATAAATGACGAATGACAATAGAAAAGTAGAAATTATTTTATCATTTACTTCACTGATACAGAATTGTAAAACGAATCTATTGAAACGACATAACAATGCACAGATTAACCGAGAAAGTAAATATAATTTTGTCTACAGTTTTTCGTATACTATTTCCGAACTAAAATTGTTAATTGACTATTTGTTATACTCTTTCTTCCTGTTTCGTATACAAAAAAACATTTGTTCTGAATTTACGGTGTAATATCTTGTTACCAGACACGGTGAGTAATAAAGGTGCAACGCGAACAAAATTACGCTTGAAACGAATTCGCTGCCGGCGTGATTCAATTTGAATTGAGTTCAATCGCTTGCTAATTAACCGCAGTAACGTAACGTGATTGCCCGTGCAGCTACGTTTCATTAACGGTTTTCCTTATTCGGTCTTTCAAAATCCTGTAATATTCTATTAGATCATTCTATGAGCAATATCGTATTTTCTGTAAT